AGCAGCGTAAGAGGATGAAGATGATCCTCCAGTGCTGGTGACGCACACCCTGGGGTTGAGGCTTATTATGATGACACTTTATTAAGGTCTTCCAGACTCCTCAAGTGTATGAAGATTCATATCTCCCAGTGAGAAATCTCATTAATTCTGATTGAAAGACTCGCAGATTCGTTTAATGTTAGATTTAGTCTCGTCCGTTTCTTTTATTGCGATTTTCATCTTCTCATTGTGTTCCAAGCCTATTATAAGGCATTTCTCCATTCGGGAAGTGTTATGGCACGGTTAAGCATGCATCAGATTATCTTTAAGAGTGCCGCAAAATTTATTTAGGCCTATTTCCAAGAATAAAATAAAGAAAAGCTGATTTCACAATGATGTATTTAGGCTTTCACACAGGACGCGGGAAGAAGTGGTTAATTACAGCCCATAAGATCACAGTTTTATTTACTCAACTCTAACACACTTTCTGCAGGTCTTATGACACTTTAGGTCAAATAAATGCTTTTCCGTTTGATCTATTAGACAAAATGCAGGCTCAATTAATTTACCGGTCAACTAATTTCATTCCTAAATTCTTAGCACACACATACAGCTGAAGTCAGAATTATTAGCCCCCCCTAAATATTAGACCGCTTGTTTATTTTTCCCCAATTACTGTTTAACTGGGAGAATATTTCTTCAACACATTTCTAAACACAATACTTTTAATAACTCATTTCTAATAACTGATTTATTTTCTCTTTGCCATGATGACAGTAAAAAATATTTTAGTAGATATTTTTCAAGACACTTCTATACAGCTTACAGTGACATTTAAAAGTTTAACTAGGTTAACTAGGCAGGTCAGGGTAATTAGGCAAGTTATTGCATAACAGTAGATTGTTCTGTAGATTATCGAGAAAAAATATGCTTAAAGGGGCTAATAACTTTGTCACTAAAATGGCTTTTAAAAAATTAAAAACTGCTTTTGTTCTTGCCGAAATAAAACAAATAAGACTTTTTCTAGAAGAAAAAATATTATCAGACATACTGTGAAAATGTCCTTGCTCTGTTCAACATCATTTGGAATATATTTAAAAAAGAAGAAAAAAAAGAAGAAAAAATTTGAAGGGGGCTAATAATTCTGACTTTAACAGTACACACACACACACACACACACACATACATATATATATATATATATATATATAAAAATATATAAATATATAGTGTATTTAAGCCATACTGACACCGAACCTCCAATAGAGATCAGAACTGCTAGTTAGCTGTTTATTAGTTCATAAGGTAGTAGTTGGGTTTAGGTTTTGTGTAGGATTAGGGATGTAAAAAGATCATTCAGTGCTTGTATAAAAGATCATGTGTGCGACTAAAACAATCACAAGTGCTAATGTACAGTTCATATCCTAATAACAGGCAAGTAAA